TCTAGTCCGCATCCTTGTGTGAATGATTCAAACCCACTGGTTCCTCATCCCTCATCTGTTTCACAATCACTAGGACAAGTCGAAACTTTACAAAATCTGACTTCTCAAAACCCATATCCACCACCAGTTCAACGACTTCACCAAATGACCACTTGGTCTATGAACAAAATTTTTAAACCCAAACAACTTAATTCAATGTCTAAACATCCACTCCCCGAGTCCATTGAACCAACTTGTGTGAGTCAGGCTTTGTCTCAACCACAATGGCGTGATGCTATGTCAAATGAGCTTACAGCTCTCATGAAACATGGCACTTGGGATTTAGTGCCACCTCCTCTGAATTGTAATCCAGTGGGTTGCAAGTGGGTGTTCCGGGTAAAGAGGAAATCTGATGGGTTAGTGGATCGATTCAAAGCCCGCTTAGTTGCAAAGGGCTATAATCAACGTCCTGAGCTTGATTACAAAGAAACCTTCAGTCCAGTGGTTAAACTAGCCACAATTAGAACAGTTCTGTCTATTGCTGTTTTGAATGGTTAGGAGTTAAGGCAAATGGATGTTAATAATGCCTTTTTACATGGTGTATTGTCTGAAACGATATTTATGATGCAACCCCCGGGGTTCAAAGATCCATCTAAACCCAATCATGTTTGTAGACTCCAAAAAGCCATATATGGGTTTAAACAAGCCCCTCAGGCTTGGTACAATACACTGAAACATGCAGTACTTGAGCTTGGGTTTGAAAATTCTAGAGCTGATTCGTCCTTATTTATTTATAGAAAGGACTCTGTAATTTGTTATTTCTTGGTATATGTCGATGATCTTGTGATTACAGGGAATAACAAAATTTTTGTGGCTTCAATTATCAAGCAACTGGGAGATCGTTTTTCTCTTAAGGATATGGGTCTACTTCATTACTTCCTAGGTGTGGAAGTTGTACCTACTCAGGCAGGCCTTTTTCTCTCAGAACACAAGTACATTCGAGAGCTATTGTCCAATACCAACATGAGCAGCACCAAAGATGTCTCCACTCCTCTTTCCACAACTCAGTCGCTCAAGTTACTTGATGGCACAGCCAATGTGGACAGCACGGAATATAGAAGAATTATTGGCAGCCTATAGTATCTTTCTTTGACCCGTCCAGATATTTCATTCACAGTCAATAAATTGTCTCAATTCATGCACAAACCTACCTCCACTCACTTTGCAGCAACAAAAAGGCTCCTACGCTACTTAAAGCAAACTCTTTTCCATGGTATACAGCTCACAAAATCTGGACCTCCAGCTTTAGTTACCTATTCCGATGCCGATTGGGCTGGAAATGTTGATGATCGTACCTCCACATCTGCCTATTTCAGCTTCTTAGGCTCAAATCCCATTTCATGGAGCTCAAAGAAACAAAGAGAAATTGCAAGATCTACCACCGAAGCTGAATATCGAGCTCTTGCAAATGCGGCATCCGAGACAATGTGGCTTCTTGCCCTTCTTCATGAGCTGGGTTTTAACTAAAAGCTGCCCCCTTGCTACTGTGTGATAATCTTGGTGCTACACACCTAAGCTTTAATCCGGTTCAACATTCACGCATGAAACATATACAAATCGATCTTCATTTTGTGCGTGATCTTGTTCAACGTGGCTCTCTCCAAGTTAGACATGTTCATACCCAAGATCAATTGACAGACTTGTTGACAAAACCATTGTCCAGACAAAGAACAGAAATTTTGAGAAACAAGATTGGGCTTGCTGATGGAAGCTCAATCTTGCGGGGGCGTATAAAGACAGATTGCAAGAATCAAGGTCAAGATTGAACAGAGCACATCTAGCCTACGATCAAGCAAGATCATTCACAATCAAGTCTGTGTATTTTTGTGATTGCTGCATATCTGTAACTGCTGCATAATTTTAGCTAAATTGATATACATTGCCGTAAATAGTGTTTCCTAGCTGTGTATATAACTCAGCACATATTACATCAATAAAGTGTGGAAAAATTATTCATTGAAACCATTGTAATCTTCATTCATTTATAGAGTCCCATCAAATAGGAACTTTGGGGTATCTTTTCTTGATGTTCGCAGAAACTTGCTTCAAGGAAATATACCTCCATTATTTGGGTTTTGGAGTAATCTGACAATGCTTGATTTTTCAGAAAATAGGCTATCTGGCTCTATACCTTATGAACTTGGAAAGCTTGAGAATCTTCAGATATTGAGACTGTCTAGCAATAGACTAACAGGAAACATTCCCGCTTAGTTTGGTAATTGCACACAAAAATGATCAAATTGGACCTCAGCTGGAATTATCTTTCAGGTAGAATTCCTTCAGGAATAATATCATTGGCGAAATTGCAGAGCATTTTCCTTCAAGAGAACAAACTTAGTGGAGCTATTCCTGACTCTCTCTTCCACACAAAGTCTCTTTGAGTTGCAGCTTGGGAGCAATATGCTTGATGGTCCTATCCCCTGCACCATGAGTAATCTTCACCATTTCAGTTCAGTTTTAAATATAAGTCACAATAGGCTCTCAGGTCAAATCCCAAGATGCCTTGGTAATGTAGCAAGTTACAAATTCTTGATCTCTCAAGCAACAGCTTCTCTGATAAGATACCAACAGAAGTGAAAAACATGATTTCGCTTTACTTTGTGAACAAATCGTTCAATCTTCTCTCAGGAAAACTCCCCACTACTTGGACTAGATTAATGGCTTCATATCCAGGGTCTTTTCTTGGAAATCCAGAACTTTGCTTGCAGGGTAGTGAAGCAAGATATTGTGGGGAAACTGGAGGCGGCCATAATACAGGAAAGGTGCTGGCTGGAGCAATTATTGGAGTGGTTATCTCTGTGGCATTGCTATGTGCTTTGATATACATATTAGTTGTTCGAAACCTGCAAAAGAAATATTTGATTGATCGATCTCTTCTACAAGAAAGTCAGTTAAGAACTGAAAATTTACCTGGAGGATTTAAAATTCGAAGATATTATGCGAGCTACTGAAGGCTGGAGTGACAAGTTTGTAATAGGAAGAGGCAACCATGGAACTGTGTACCTAACAGAATCAAGCAACTCCAGAAAACTGTGGGCGGTGAAGAAAATAAATTTGTCGGAGACAAACTTCTGTGTTGAGATGACAACTTTGCGCTTGGTTAGGCATCGGAATGTTGTAAGAATGGCAGGTTACTGCATAAAAGATGGATATGGATTCACTGAAACTGAGTACATGCCTGGTGGGACGCTTTTTGATATATTGCACAACAGTGAACCTCGCTTGGTTCTGGCTTGGGACACCAGATATCAGATTGCTTTTGGTATTGCTCAAGGCCTTTCTTACCTTCACCATAATTGTGTGCCACAAATTATTCATAGGGATATCAAATCAGATAACATATTGTTGGACTCTGAATTGGTACCAAAGATAGGAGATTTTGGAATGGCAAAATTAATATCTGATTCTTATTTGAGCTCAACAAGATCAGCAGTTGTAGGAACACTAGGCTATATTGCCCCAGGTTAGCTGCATATTGTTATGCATTCTTTCTTTCAGTTCATATTAGAAGGTCACTTTCTAAACTTGAGTGTCTGGCATTTTTGTCTACCCCCGAAAATGCATACTCGATCCAGCTGACTGAGAAGACGGATGTGTACAGTTATGGAATTATTTTGTTGGAGCTTCTTTTTCGAAAACTGCCAGTAGACCCCTGCTTTGAAGGCGGCATGGACATTGTCTGTTGGACAACAAAAAAGCTACAGGAAAATGAAGAATGCATTTGCATCCTTGACGAGGAAATCAATTTCTGGGATAGCTAGCCATGATCAAAGAAAGGCACTAAGACTATTAGACTTGGCACTTGAATGCACCAAGAAGTGGCTGATATGAGGCCCTCCATGAGAGATGTAGTAGGATTTCTGATGAAGTTGAATGATAAACATGAAATCAGTGTAAATAATAGGCCAAATGCAAGGTTATAGAACTTAATGCATAATGTTTTATTGCACTTAATTGTGTGGTTTTTTATGTATTCTGCAGAAAAATGCACCGTAAAGACATGGCCAAAAGGCAGTTACCTACCGCTTTTCTTGCCCCAATACAACTATACATTTTTGGTCATTTTAGTTGGATTTCCAGCAGAAGGGTTGGATTTCCAGCAGAAGAGTTACTATAAAACCTTGAAGGTTCTCATTGTTTAAAACTACATGTTCCCTGGATTAGAAATAACTTCTACAAACGCTGTACAGTAAGAAGGGCTAATCAGAGTTAAAAAGAATGTTATGTCGGAGGCTTTAGAGTGTTGTTTGACAGGCTGAATGCGAGCCAAGTATGGACCAAAGTTACAAGTCTCAGAATTAGTATCAGAATCAGCATCAGCATTAACAATAATGTCCCCAAATCTCTGAAGAAAATACTAGTTTATATTTCTGAAACTTCAAGGCAATGTTGGTTGGTTACGTCTACAACTGCATGAATAAATACAGAGTAACAAAGCAACCCCTCACTATCCCTATTCATTCTGCATGCAAAACTTTCACGACTAACATAGGTCACCAGGGTTTAGGGTTTAGGGTTTAGGGTTTAGGCACCAGCTCTTGCTAGAAAACTCCAATGAATCATCAAAATCAATAATCTCTGCTTCTTCCAACCATTCCTACCTTACCAAGAGGTGTCTTAGGTCTTGCCCAGGAGATGACCTAACTAGTGAATACGAATGAATGGCTATAAAGGTAGGTTTTTTTCAGCATTTGCTTATCAATTCACCAAAGCTATTTAAAGTATAAAGAATTCCCCAGACATGTTAATACCTCAGATCTGTCACAGAGTTACCATCATGTGAATAACAATACTGAGTAATGCTTCCACAAAATATAAACACTCCATGTACCACTTGTTTGAGAGCAACAATAAAAGAAATTTTCTGGGTATGACTGTATAGTCTACTCAATACCAAAATGTCAATGTATCTATTTTTAAGGCGAATTCTAATTTAAGAATATAAATTAAACATATGGGTGGAATTTCATTATTCATACAAAACTACAAAGCCACAGATGAATAATATAAACCCAAAATGCTGAAAGCAACTAGAACCACAGCACAGCACTATTTTTAAGCCTCCAAACTTCAACATCAAATGTAAATGGCAACCAATGTAAAATGCAGAAAACACAAATTCTTCATGAAAATCTGTCAAATGATTGAGCATTCCTCGGTGATACAGAAAAGTCAAGTTGTAATTATTTTATAAAAAGGACAGAAACAAAACCAAAGAGAGTACAAAAGCCATGTTAAGGGGGCAAACTAAAGAAATTATAGAGCCACAACATGAAAGAAATTGCTGGAGCAAGCCTCACAGCCCCTACTCTATAGCCTCCACGTGTTGTGAAGCTTCAGTTTGTTTCATACTTTCTAAACCAGAGATTCGTCTGTCCAATGACTCATGGAAGCCTTTCACCTGGAGAGACAAAGACAAAAACAAAAAGAACAAAATTTTTATTCTTTGAATATTTTTTTTTTTTTTTTTTTTTTTTTAATCTCTTCAAATATGTTTTTACAAACCATAATCAGAACTGCGTCCCTGGGCATAAAAAGAGACAATTTAATGTAATTTCTAAACGATTTAATTTTATACTCTCTCTTAGTTGAATAAAAGAGAATTTCCTTATATGGGTTGATCTATTTTCAGTGACTTCATTCCCTATTTAGTAGTTTTGTGAATTGACAAATGGCTTTCTCCACCATTTCTCATTCTTTCTTGCTGGTTCTCCTTAATTCTATTCCTCCTCATTTCTATCAGATTCATTCTTAGCATGAACTGTTGGAAACAAAAACAAGTTCATCAGTATTCAAAACCTAATAAATCAAATATTTCAAATTGTGTTTCAAATTAACAATTTTTTGACTCACGAATATTCAACTGACTAATTAATTATTTATAACCATTGGCGTTTTTCCAGAATTTTCCGCCAGAACTCTCTGAGGTAAATATTCTTTTCTGTGCAATTCCAAATGTGAAGTGAGTTTTCGTATCTTATACCTGAATACTTGAAATTCAACATACCCGTAGTTTCTTCTCGTTTTTCTTGAAATATAATATGGGGAATTTCGTTTTCTTCAGGTCCTTATTCAGTGCTAAAAAAAGAGTGCTTTTCTGGAGCTAAGGGTTGGAAATTTCGGATATCTTGAATGGCTTCGACATTGTAACTACATATATTTCCAAAGGAAATAGACAAATATGGCTATATAACCTAATGAGAAAAGCCTAGAAATTGGAATTAGACACTGTTTGATGAAGAAATAACAAAGAAATCATGGCTCACAAAACCAATTAAATTAATAGTGAAGAATTAAATTACCCAAATTACTTTATACGAATCTTAAGAGTTTGAGACGTACCTGATGGGAGATGGATTCATAGGCAGCTTTGTAGTCATTGTAGAGGATGTAGAGACCCACAGACGACGCCGTTGCAACGCCTGCGAAGAATGATGCCAGTCTCACTCTCAATACGTAACCCATCTTCCTCTTCTTCCCCTTCCTTTGCTCTCTCTCTCTCTCTACTCCGCTTTGATAATTTTAACGAGCTTTATTTCCAATACTACCCCTATCTTTTTGGCTTATTTCCAATACCAACTTTGTTATTTTTTTTTATCACCCACCACTCCAACATATTTCGAAAATTATCAAAAACCACCACTGTGTAACTATTTGAATTAGCTATCAATAATATCTAACAAGATGTTAGGTGAACCATAAATGACCGAAATACCCTTTATGAATATTTAAATCACGGCCTTATTTTATTTATAAAATAAATAAAAAATTATGGGCAGTGTGGTCATCTTACTAACACTATGGTTGATATGGTAAGGGATTTGGGGTTGGTTATTTTTCATTAAAATCCAAAAAATGTGATTAATTGGTATAATTTCCTATTATAAATTAAAGGGTATTCGTTTAAAACACTGAATCAAACAGTCCCAAAAAGAGCGAGAGAGAGAGAATATTATAGACTATTTTTAAGGTTTTGTTAATTTAACATTTGGCCGAACGACTTACGCATACCCAAAGTTTTCCAAAACGACAAGTTGATACCCAAAGGTTTTGAAACGACAAATAGATACCTTCTGTCATGTTTTGTTAGTGATTTTCGTTTGATAATAGTGAAAAGACTAAAATGCCCTTGAAAGTTTAATATTTTAGTTTTTTATAAATTTAAAAATATCTAAAAAAACACCCTAGGTTTGCTAATTTGACTAAATACCCCAATATATAAAAAATTTATAAAATAACAAAAACACCCCCACCACCCGCAGTGCCAGATTCTGGCCACCACCTCCGGAATCTGGCCGAAAAATTGTGTTACGACACAGACCCATCGGATCTGTGTCGTAACGCGTAGATCTAACATTTTTCGGCAAGATCCGTGGCTGATCTGACCGAAAAATGCCAGATCTACGGCTAGATTTGGCCGTCGAGGCCGGAATCTGGCCGAAAAATCGTGTTACGACACAGATCCGACTGATCTGTGTCGTAACACGTCGATCTGGCATTTTCCAGCCAGATCAGTGGAGGATTTGGCCGGAAAAGGCCAGATCTGGCCGTCGAGGCCGAAAAAGGCCAGACATAAATCTGGCCTTTTCCAGCCAAATCAGCTACTAATCTGGCCGGAAAATGTCAGATCTACGCGTTATGACACAGATCCGACGGGTCTGTGTCATAACGCAATTTTTCGGCCAGATTCCGGCGGTGGTAGCCGAAATCTGGCACTGCGGGTGGCATGGTTGTTTCTGTTATTTTATAAAATTTTTATATATTGGGGTATTTAGTCAAATTAGCAAACCTAGGGGGTTTTTTAGATATTTTTAAATTTATAAAAAACTAAAATATTAAACTTTCAAGGGCATTTTAGTCTTTTCACTATTATCAAATGAAAATCACTAACCGAACATGACAGAAGGTACCTATTTGTCGTTTTAAAACTTTTTGGGTACCTACTTGTCATTTAGGCAAACCTTGGGTATGTGCCCTAAACATTTTGATGACAATTTTCGTACCTTTTGATCCAATGGATTCTCAAAGTTTAAAAAAATTATCAGTAATACCCTTTTTTTTTGTCATAAAAAAGACACTCAAATTTTAAAAACTTTATCAAAAATACCCTTTATCCTAACCCTATTAAATTATCCTAGGTTTATAAAACACTATATTATAAAATCAAAATTAATATTTTACTCATCTACCCCAAACTACAATATAACAGAGTTAGGACAAGAGGGTTTTGAGAATTCATTTAATAAAAATTGTGAACTTGTCATCCAAATAACGAATTTAGAAACATAGAAAATAGTCTATGATATTGTCCCTTAAAATATATCCCATAACAAAATTCCATTAATAGATTTAGTACATTTAACTAAACAACACTATATTAAAAAGATTAATATAATTTCCCACTAGATTACCTCTAATCGATAATACTCCGTTGTCAGATACTCGAAGAAAAAAAAAGTGAAAATGGATGAATCCCCAACGTTTTACGGTCATATATATTGATACATACAAGAACGGGGTCAGTTTTTGTGGCATATTAACAAAAGATTGAACGCAGCAACCAGCCGAGATGTTCACTCCTCCCCAAAACATCACTACTGAACAGATTCAAAAGGTACTATTATTTCTTTATCAACTATTGTAATGGATTCATTCTTATTTGATTTCTTTATATATAATTAGTGGACCATATCACTTTGTTCATGAGTGTTTCTCTTCTTATTTATTTATTTCTATTTCTTTTATTATAAAAGAAACATGAGACTTTCATCTCGCACGGCTTTCCAGATCTTAATGTGTGCATATTTTAACAAATTTGCCTTTGTGATTGTGGTTTAAGATCATATACTCAATAATCAATCAAATGAATTAGATTGTATGCCAAAAAACAGTAATTACAATTCAAGAACATGGGTATAAACTTGATTGACTAAATCTGCATAAATTTTATGATTTGTTATGAAAAGTACGGAGCATCGCTATAAACTGAAATTGAGGAGAAAATGCAGTACCTGGAGGAGAATAAGCAGTTGATTATGGCCATTCTGGAAAATCAGAATCTGGGAAAGTCTGCCGAGTGTGCCTCGTGAGTCACAATTAAATATGCTCTTTCTCTTTCTTTTAATAATTATTTTTTCTGAATATTGGAAATTGGAATTAGATTAGTTTTCTTTTTTTCTTATGCTATCTCTTATGTATGTTTATCTTTTTTAGCTTGCAACTTCTTTTATTGGATGGACCTTACTGGGAAAGTATATCTAGTAGAACTGCAAAATCGAAGGAAAAAAAAAAAATCCCTAAACCCTAAACTCTCTCTCTCTCTCTCCATATATATATATAGGTATTTAAATGATAACTATCTTCTCTTTATAGAGAGAGTGAAATGTGCCCAATTCATACAATTCAAGCAGATGCCTGTATTGTAAGAAAACTTCAATTTGGTATTCAGAGTTGTGTTGGATCACTTCTCACTCATGGTAACTCCAAATAAAAAAAAATTTCTCTTATTATCATTGTTGAAACTTTTTTTTTTTTTCTCAATAAAAGAATGGGAGAGAACAATTGAGAAGAAATAAAGGTAGATGAGAACAAAGTCATCAGAGTAGTTAGCCTTCATGGAGTTGGATTAGTGAAGAATAACTCATTTTCTTGCTTACACTATTAGAACTAAGAACTGGAGTTCAAATTTCTATAGCAAAAACATCAGAACAATTGAGAGACAGACTGTAGTTACAACAAGAATTTGCCTATGAATGGTTTTAAATTAAGTCTCCTATCTTTTTTACTCTGTTTTTTTTGCTTGTTATCCTTTCTTGCCGGTACTTAGGCATCAGGGACAACAAGAGAACTGAAATCTATGATCACTTACAACTCTCAGTTTCTCAAAGTCATCATGGTTTGGCAGTACCCATTCAGTTTGTTGTTGGGCATTTGTCATCCTTGACATTTTTAATATTTCTCAGAAGTGATTTGCATCATAATTGAAATTTGAACTGACTGTTTTGTGGTCATTATATGTACTTTTTTCGATAGGGTCACTACTTTCCTTGTTTGGCTTTATTGATGTTTCTAGGTTAAGAAGGGTGAAAGATGATTTTGGCTTATAGAGTGTAAAAAATGGGTTTATGCTCCAGGGAGTGTATAAACTATTTAATGTTTGACCAGAAAATGACATCTAAAATCAATATTCAGGTATCAAAACCAGCTGCAACAGAACTTGATGTATCTAGCTAAGATAGCTGATGCCCAACCTGAGGCACCAAAAATTCCTAATCAGGTATGTTGGCCGATTAGTGCCTTCCAATAACTAACTAGATCTCTGCATCTTTATATGCGTGAGAGCCTGTCGGTTGCCCTGCCAGAAACTTCTCCGAAAGTAGAACCTAACTCTGCTCTGATAAATCTGCAGATGCCCTCACATTCTTCAGATCAACAAGAGCACTACAAGCACCCCTCTCAGACTGCAATGTCGCAACAAGAAGTTCTTTTAGCTTCAAAGTTCCCGCTCTCATTGAATGATCATCATCAGCTTCCTAATGTACAACAACAGCAATTCATCCCGGGTCAAATTGGCATGAGATCTGGTGCCTCAACTTCAACTGGCAGGTATCAAGGACCCAGAAGCAGCTTCATGAATGTACAAGGAAGCGAGCAAGATAACTTGTAGGCTGGTACTGGAGATGATCTTAGTAAATCAGCAACTACATGTAACGGAGGAGATACTGTATCTGAATGTTCGCTATATGGGCAATTCCATGTGTGCAACTTTTTGTCTAATCATCTAATTGCATTTTAAGCTTGATTACTGCATTCTTTCGTTTGGGCATAGTTTTCTATTGTTACGAAGAATGCTTGATAGGCAATGTTTAGCCATCATTAATTATATGATATTTAGTATGAAAATGATATTTTGTTAGCAATCATTTTCAGGTGAGCCAAAACCTTACCCAGTTAATGATGATTTCCAACTCTGAAAATTTTACTCGGTATACCAACAAAAATTACATGTTCACAAGGTTTCTCTCTAACCAAGTTGTTATTACTGATGGCGAGGAAGGTAGAGTTCCACTACTTGTATAAAATAATAATATTAAACTTACAACATAATTTCACAAACTTTCTTTCACAACCGGTATAAAAACTCACAATTAGTTTTTGATAATTTTTTTCATTTGATCAATAGTAAACTGATAAATTAAGAACTGCTATGTTGAGATTGTGAAAATAAGTTATAAATCAATCTTCATCCATGAAAAAATGATCTTTTTATCAAACAACACTAATTTTACTGATGTCTCTCGTATCATTCCAACACCTCCACTTTGTAGTGGATAGAGTTTCATTTGCCATCGTTAAGCAATTCTACTGATGTCTCTTATATCATCACATACTCTCCAATAATAAAAGCAAAATAAGTGAGCTAAGTGGAGCTTTAGTTAGGGTTTTTCAAACACATCAGTTACCAGCTGTTGGGGAAATCATAGCCAAATAAGATTTGCAATCCAATCCAATGCAAAAATGCAAACTGTGGGCAAGAATATCACTGCACGATGACTGCGATCTTGAGTACATCATAACAAAGTAAATTTAGACAATTTTCCAACAGAGCAGGGTGCAAAAACAATGAAAACAGAATCAAAGTCAGCTGGCTGTTTCATTCTGAGATTGATTGATTCATATTATATGCAAAAAATTGCCAGTAATTCCAATCTAGAAAGACATTCTACAACTCATTCCCAATATGTTCTCAGATCTGCGCTAGTCCACCTCCATAATCAAAATATTATCCATTTGATTCCATCCATCCTGCCAAAATAAAATACATTTAGATTACACCATGCAGTTACAATGTAATGACACATTATCAAAGTTAATAAGTATGCGGTGCTTTGAGGATCTAAAGAGCATGTTCAAAAACCTTTGTTAATCAACCAAAATATTATTGTCACATCCAGTCAAAAGTATGGGATTATAGGTCTTCCATGACAGAATTACAGGAATTGAAGTACTTAATTGAGCCTATCATATTCCAATTCATAAAAGTAAAAGAAAATATATATCTTTCGTCATTCGCTCATCACAGGCACTGTTGTAATACTATCAATTGAGGTAACACTATTGTATCATTTATCACATCATTTCATCCCAAGGGGAGCTCCTTCGTTGATGACTCTTGAAACAACAGGTTGGCAAAAATATGATAAGAAAGATGTGCTTTCCAACTTTCAAATTAGATAATTTTTCAGTTTGCAGCCTGCAATTCTTGAGATCATATCATACCTAACAGCGTTTTAAATTAGAGTTGTTGCAGGATAGTACCAGCTTGTTTAAGGTCCAGCTCTGATCAACTATCATATGTAAGCACTCCTTACACCAGTGAAATCAGGTTAAATAATAGCAATGCTACTTTTCTCAAAATTTTGTCAAAAACTTTTAGCCCATTTTGATTTGTCATTTGATTGGAAACTATTTATACCAGAAAATTCAGGTAGCAAACTAATAGATTATCTTACCCTGAGATCATATCATATATGATAATTCAAAAAAAGTTTATTTCAAGATACAATCACTGCAAAAAAAATTCAACTTGAATATAGCAAGCATAACCTAGAAGCCTCAACGCAGACATAAAACAACTAGCCAAAGTTCAAAATTGTTATAACCGTACTTACTATCTGCGGGAGGTTAGTGCAGCACCAGTTGCCCTGCCAGAGAACAAAACATTATTCCCAATGAGCTTTTCATCTAATAATAGAAACAAGTTCGTACTCAAAAATTAATATTCTGTAGCCTTTTGAGCAATACCTGCCCTGCTGTTTGCCAACAAAATTAGACCTTCCTTGAGTTGATCCCTTGTTTTGATTACTTATCACACTTGACCTCTCAAAACTCGCTCCATTTAGTTTTAGTTCAAATGGGTCTCTAGATTTGGTTAAAATCTTTATGTTTGAGAGACCTCCAGCCATACCAAAATTAACACCATTAAGATGCTGAGTCTTAATAACTGAGTTGGAATCAATTGATGGAACCTTTTTTGGTCGAGCCACTGGGGTAACAGCCACAGAGGGCAAAAATGAGGAGTAAGGAGAAGATGCTGCAGCTGCTGCAGCAACCTTGGCAAAAGCTGCTGTAGCTGCTATCATTTCTTGTGCACCTTCTCTGAGCTGAATATGGTCACCCTCAATGACAAATAACTAAAATAAAAAATATGGGGTCAGAAAACATGGTAAACACTAAATTCATAAACATATAATCTGAACGTCCAAGTTACTCACCTCTGGGTGGCTGGCAACAAAGTCATCAAGCTTTCCATATTGTTTCTTGTAATCATGCCAGTGTAGTGGTGCAAGCATTTTGCCAAGCCTATTAGGGAGCTGTAGTCAACACAAACACAATAAAACTGACAAATCAAAACCAAGTATGGGCGTGTAGCAAGGGCCAGGCTAACTGTGATGGCTTAACAAGTTTTCAATTGAAATTCATTTACCGTTGAACTGATTCGAATTTTACCACCAGCAGGAATTGTGCGGACTATGCATGCCAATAAAGATCTTTCATCTAGGAGAGTAGAGTCTGAAGTCTTTCCTGCCATTAGTGTATTCATATGTGCTTTTGAGATCAATGCTTCAGGCAAAGTTGCACCATTGTCATTCTTGATTGAAGTTTCACCAGGATTGATTGAACTGATCGTAGTATCAGATGGAGATGCACTTGCTGCAGAACTTTGATCTTCTTCTTTTACAACTTCATCCTGTAGTCCATTATCAGTTAAATTCACATCATGCTGCTCCTGCAACAGTTAAAGTTAAAAAATAAGCTTATTCTCTGTTCCATATACCTACAGCTTTGAAAAATAACCACATAACACAAATAAACATAAACCTTAGAACTGTTCTGTTCGATGCTGTCTAGTCTCAAGACATCACAAAATTGGGAAGAAACTTGTTGCAAGTTCTGATCAGTTTGAGGGGCAACAAGGTAGCTTCTATCCATTGATTCAAGAACCTGTAAAAGAAGCATTGTACTTCTGTCAATACTGCATACGGAAACGAGAAGGCGACACAACAATAGTGAGAACAGAAACATTTAAAAAACAGAGAACCTGTGCTTCTGCAGTTGATGACGAGATCACTGAGTCTGGCTCTGTGCCTTGGCTGATATGAACATCCAGATAGCCAGAACGAAGAGTTTGTTCATTTATAGACATGTCATATTCATACTTGGCACCTGACCTCAGAAGGTGTTGATCAGTTTGAGATGGTGGCTGTTGACTTGATGCAGAAATCTGTGAACCCTCTGGTACAGCCTGAAGAAGAGAACGAACAAACATCACACAACAATTTTCCAAAATGGAGATAAATATGAGGTTTTCATTGGATGATACCTGTTGGTTCTGCCACTGTTGCAGGGATGACATTGCTGGCATCGAGTGAAAATGCCCAACATGAGATTGAGGGACATGTGAAGGCAGAGAATGGGGAACCCCCTGCTGATGCATGATGAAGGAATGAAGAGCAGGCACTTGTCCAGGTGGAAGGTAGGGAGGCAACCCAAGCAGAGATGATGGAGCAATTGGTACGCCAGGAACACGGTCGGTCTAATAATGAGCAAAAACAAGAAAATGTTTGAAATTAGATTTATGTACACAATGCAAACACAACAATATTTGCTAGGAACCAAAAAAAGAAAAAAAAAAAAAAAGAAGGAGAAAAGGAATGGTAGAAAATAACAAAGTTTAATCTACATAACTATTTCAGTGACATCAACATTTTCTTTTATAGGAGATTTAGAGTTGTGCATAAAAAAACAAACTATTTAACTAGGGTATAAGGCTTTTACAAAGATTATCATGAACCTGTGTGGCCTGTTCAGAAAGAACAAAACAGGAGAGATTACTACAGTTTGAACCAATCCTAGAAAACCATAATCAACCTAAAATCCCTAACCAATTAAGATGGATAAACAAAAAAATGAACAGATTCAACATTAATGTCAACATTAATCATTAATACTTCAAGATTCAATATGTATGAACCTTAATATCTCCTATGTTTCTTAGTTCACCTTACAACTTCCCCAAGCATAGTTTGGTAAAAGAATAAATGCATTACAGTAGTTTAGAAATCAGTTCTCATTGGCTATCCACCCCCAAACCCAAAATAGCCATGCACACACTTAAAGGAACAGTTTTTCATTTAATTTGAATGATTATTGAAACATATTAACGCTTCCCTTTCACGAATCAATACAGCAATAGTGGAACATAAGATCTAAGTTGTTTCTTTTTCTTTTTCTAAAGAAACAACCACACTTCACCTAGTCCAAGTTGCTGATAAAAAATATCACGGATCACAGTTAACACAAAACAACAATTGTTGTTCAAGGAAAAAAAATATTCTTGTAGTTCAAGGCGAAAAACATATCATTTGCTTCTAGAAATAGCATCAATGAATTTCATACACCTTTTGCAACTTTACTCTATGTTCATTTATTGTTTCACCTTCATCTCCAAACCAGATTTTTTCTACAAAAATTAAACAATAGAGCACATGTAGTGCTCTGACAATTTGAAAAGCAGTAAAACATTGTCAAAACTACAAGCACACCTACCTGAGTTGATGCATTGCCGGATGAAGCAAAAGAGGCAGCATTATCTGAATTTCCATTTGGAAGGGGGCCAGCACTAGAATTCATTGTGCCACCTCCATTTGCATCTAGTTGGCTCCCATTGTTCTGACCAAATTGAGGTACATCCTTGGAATTTTTTTGTGATATATGTGACTCATCCGTGAAAGTCCCACTCCTTTCTCTCGCATCAGCCAGCTCATGTTGAAGTTGTTGTATTGTATGCAAATGCAGTCTCTCCATCTCCGCAAACTAGCATCAATAACCCAAAAAACAAGTCAATCTTGAGTGAAATGATATAGCTCCTATTAAGTTGGGAAAAACAAGAAAACATAATATCCAATGTGAAGAAATAAATTCCAACATTCAAATACAAAAAGTTGATGTCAAACACAAAAACATCCTGCCAAAAAAATATGAAAATTAAAAAGTAAACAAGAGATAGACCAAAAACCCCAAAAAATGATAAAGAAAAACATCCCAGGATAATCAACCTGTCTTTGACAACCTAACCAAAGATGGTTAAATTGCTCTGTACGCTCACGCAGTTCAGCCTGTAATGACTGGTTTGTAGTTGATTGTAACTGAACACGTGCAACCCATGCTTGTGCCTCCCTCAGTTGTTCATCCTTGTAAATAATAGTTTCTTGAGCGGCCCTATTCTGGAAAATCAGATAACTGTCAGGTAATGGACATTTAGCCATAGTTATATTGCAACTTCAAAGAGAACTTTGTTGTAGCAAACTAAATGTAAACTTGAGTTTTGGGGATACCATATTACGAATATTGTGGCTTTTTTTTGTCACAAATTAAATAATTGTGAATGATAACAACTGACCATAACTTATTACAGATTTATACTCCTAGCATATGCACCAGAAAATTGTTGCCTTAATTTCCATTTTAATAACATGTTACATGCACATAAGAAAAATGACAATGTAAAGACCTGCTCCTGCAATTCAATAAGCTGTCTCTCTTTTTCTTGTATATGTTCTTGAAGATCATGTATTTGTTTTATGTGTTGGGCTCTTTCAGCTTCAGAATGATCACGCTCTCTTCTGCAAAAGGAAATAACCATCCAAATTTGCTTAAAAGGTTCAAATATCAAACACCTACTACAATCTATTAAGAATGCTAATAAATTGATGGGGCAACAAGAATCAAGTAACTTCCTGTAAGACTATAACATTAAAAAATGAAGTTCTTTATTCAAGAACTTATTGCTCAGGCAGCAATGAATTTTTTTATTTTTTTGCTAGGGAACAACGATTTTATTAAATAAAAGGTATACAAGAATGGATAAGTTGTTCACAAAAAAAATGACAAGCTGTCCCACGAACCCAAAGGTTAGAAAACACTAGACAAAATGAAAAACAAATCTCCAATTCCAAAACAATCACCACTAAAAATAAAAAAATCCCTAATCCAAATTTGCATAAAATCTTCCTGGAACTCTGAAGTAGTAGAATGCCCAAAGAGAAGCCCAAAATTTTACTTTATCCCACACAGATAGAACCTCTGCGTAATCTTAATATTGAATGTGTATTCCTGAATAATCTAATTTTTCAATTATTCAACCATTTCCCCACTTATGCTCAGGCAGCTATGACTCAAGATAAGACAAAAGATATACCAAAATAAAAGAAAAAGACTTGAATGAATAAACAAAGATCTTAATGACAAGAACACCTGAAAGTTGCCAGTTCTTTTGTCTGTTCCCTGAAAAGGTCCTCTTTAGCCCAAGCCTATAATATAAGTTAAGAGATAATGGTTATCATAAAATCAACAAAAGTAGAAAGATGAAATAGCAAAAAAACCAAATCAACAAACCGCTTCACTATCTAATTTGATTGCATGTAGCTCTCTTTCTTTTTCTTCCATTTTCCTCTCCAATTCATGTATGTTTTGTTCCCTTTCAAGAAGTTGCTCCTTCACAAGCAAGTTAAGCCACATTTAGGTCAGAACTCAGAAGCAATCAAAATTTGTAACTGTCATTTTAAAGTGCATTCCAACAAAAAAAAAAAAAAAAAAAAAGGAAGCAATAAGAACTGAAACTAAATGGTCATTTGTAGCCTATTTCAGACATCATTTATTAAAGGTTTGAAGTAAAGGTTAATATCTACTCCTAAATAAATAGCCACCTTTTAAGATAAAAATTGTCTCATCCAACAAGAAAAACAAATTATGCCAGTTTATTTGTAAAAGCACCATTTTAAATGGCACATTGCAAATATGATTTATGAACACAAATTAAAAGAAGAATTCTTCTTCAAAAGTTGCACTCTGAACAAGTCCCATTTATGATAAAGATTTTTTTTAATATAAATACAAACCTGTAGCTTGGCAGCAGCATTAGAATGCTCCTTAATTTGAGATTCAAAGCTGTTTTGCATTTCCATGATCTCAGTTCTTGCAATCATTTGAGCTCTAAGCTCAATCTCCAGATGTTGCAACTCTTCTCTTTGTCTAGCAACACTATGAAGCCGCTGCTGTAATAAGTCGTTACCCAAATTTCCATCCACCGTGATGGAACAGAAGTCAACATCAGCTGGCTCTCTTCCTTGCTGCACCTTAAACAAACATCAATTTATGTTCACTTTCCATGATTCTTGTAATTAAAGTTGAAACTAATATCAAAATCCTTACCTCATATATTGTTCTCTCATCAGATTGCCCCAATTTTGATTGTTCCAGTTCCTTTGTGCAACAATTACCCAATGAATGAAAAAGAAAAAATCAGCAAAAAATTCAAAAAAACTAGTGCCTCACTTAATAGATAGGAAAGATGGAAAAATTCAAAACTTTCATAATAACCAGCAAACGCATGTTCTCCAAATATATTAAAGCCTTCAATTAGAACCCTAGAAAACAAAAACCTCAATCGGCGCTTATTTGACATAATTATGTCAAATAATTATTCATTAGAATTAATTATAAAGAAACACAAGAAGAAACCATAAATCCCAATTTATTAAATTTTCATTTCGATAGCCCCAATTTATCAGCAACCAAACGAATAGTCACATTTCCATCAAAGTGAACATAAATTTACTTGCTACCCATGCCTCAAAAATCTTAACCATATAAGCACATTAAACTCTAACTCTTAGTTACTGCATCATGTGCATTTTGATTCAATGACCACGAAAATTGTCACACACATAGAAATCAAGCAAACACAAAATATAAAGAAAATGCGATAAACCCTAATCCTCCTAATACCCAAATACTAGTTCTTAGAAGGGAAAAACAACATTTGAGAACGTCAATTTCTTTCAAAACTTAATACATTTTCCTGGCAACCAAGCAAAACACAAATGTGAAGATTGATTGTGAGATATCACCACCTCATCACTGACATTTCGAACGGGATGATGGTCAGAAACGGCACGCCACTCCTTGCGTGATGACGGCATCGGCAAAGAACCACCGCCGCGTGTGGCAGCGACTCCGGCCGTGGCCTCCATTGAATCAGAAACTCCTGATACTCTGATTTTGTCCCAGCAAAAAACCCTAATTTCTGAAGAATCCGAGAATTTTATAGAGATTGAGGGAAAGAGAGTGTAAAAAACAAGGAAGTGAAGAATTAGGGATGGGTTTTGGGGGGGATTGGAGTGTAATTAGTGAAAAAGTTGACAGACACAGAGAGGTGACTCGGCGTGTGAAATTTCAATACTGGGCACGCTCCCGCCATTTATAGGGCAACTCAATCACCAAAACACTCTGCACTCACGCTTTTCCTTTGAGCGTCTATTGTACGCTTTCTAAGTCAAGACATCGAAAGGTGTATCATGTGTGAAATGAATGGTACGAAAGGAAAATGGCATGGATGCTAACTTTTCTATCAAATTTTCTCTGGTAATCTTAACGTAGTTATTTATAATTGGTCAATTTATAATATGTTCTATCCAATTAATTAGGACTAATCAATTATGAGCCACTATATCTAAATTATAAAAAAAGTTTGTAAAAAGAGATTATAGGTATAACATTACTAGATAGGAAAAGGGGAAATGAACGAGAATAGAAATATGAATAAATGAAGGAGAAATGGGATTAATATTTTAAAAAAAATTGAATATTAAGAGAATAAAATGAAATGAAATACACTAATATATCGATAAAAATATCCTTAAGTTGAGATTTTATGTTTACTTTAACAATCAAATCTATTACAAATAAGATGGAGCAATAACTACAAATCAACGTGTCAAGATGAAGCAATTTGATTGGACTTATTAAATCATAAATCCTACTTGTCAATTCAAGGTGTCAAGATGGAACAATTTTCCAACCCCAAGATGGGTTCCAAAATGTCTTACGTGTCGAACAACCAAAAGGCTATTAAGCTTTATATATACTCTAGACATGGGGCCTGTGCAACATTCAATGTTTTTTTAAATAGATTGTAGTCAAATTTATTCTAATAAAATAAACTAATTGGATTAAAACATAATAATTGTTAAATTATCCAAATTTTAAAGTAAATATAAATTTTATATATATACATAGTTGTGTTAAGATAAAATTAATAATTGTACCTGTATAATTATTAATATCAATTATAGGTAGATGTCATTAAATCATTCATTTAACTTGAGAATATCTCCTTAATTTTATATGGTCTAATTATATTTTCAGGATCATCACCTTGTACAATTGATATTATTTTTGTAGACATGTCTTTGATATTCGATGTCAGTATTTTGTAGTGAATCGTATATAATATTTAAGATCACCTGAATATTATCAAGATCAACTATTTACACTTAAAATTTATACCAATCTTCTGCAATTTCTGTAACTTATATTCATTTTCAAGTTGCGTTGTGCGAGTATGTTTATTATATATATTTGTTTTTACATTATTGTTGGTTTTTTGTCTTTTAAATATATATTTTTTATATTGAAGTTGATTTTATATTGAATTGATAATTAAAAAATCAATAAATAAAATATCCACAAATTGAACTCAAAGTCTATATCATCATAGTTCTTCTCAAATATGTCACCATTTGAAGTCTGTAACCAAAGTTTAAAACTTTGTCAAGAAAAGCAAAAAAATTTGCAGGATAACCCACTGGGTAATATTGATAAGTCTATAAATCAATCAGAAAAAGAGAAACCTTGTTAATAAATTGTGAACTTTTAAACAAGAGACTTGTAGAGCCAAAGGAAAAAACTGATTTTGATTGTTGAGAAGAGAAAATGAATTATTTTTATTTTAGAAATTAAAAAAAAAATTAAGAATGTTGAGAAGAGAACTCACATAGAAAGCAACAACAACTCCAACAGTATAATATGAAGGCAACTTAATTGAAGCATTGAAGAAGCCATAAAGATAAAGGTCTTGTGACACAAATCTATTTGTTGCAATTAAAATTGACCACCACCTATAGCAAAAAAAGCCTTTGATGATAGCATCATAAAGAAAGACGATAATTGTAAAACCCACAAATCAAACAACAAAATCAATCCAAAAATCAACAAAAAGTGATAGAACAAATACAATTAAAACTACATATCAATATTTGTTTTCCTTTGTCATCACTAAAATTGAATTTGTTTTATGTGTGTAATGATAAAATGAATGGTTCAGCAGTAGGTCTATAGTTATTCTAATTCAGCATATAATATATCAAATTAAAGCCCTATCTTTCTAGTTTCCAAATATTCAAACCGCTCATCAATTGGATTTTTATTAAGCAAGTTATGACTAATTTACTACTGATTGTTCAATGGAAATCAAGAAACAGGGAAAACCAAAATGTGTGTGATAATAAAAGGAATGACTTTATAGTGTGGCTATAGCTATCCAAATTAAGTGTATAATATATCAAATTAAAGCCTTGTCTGTCTAGTTTTTAAAGATTCAAACCTCTCATCAATTTGATTGTTATTAAGCAAGTTATAGTCAATCTACTACTGACTGTTACGCAGAATCTGAAATGTGTATGACGATAAAATGAATGATTCTGCAGTGGGGCTAAAGTTATCAAAATTAAGCATATAATATATCAAATTAAAGCCCTATCTGTCGAGTTTCTAAAGATTCAAACCTCTCATTAATTGGATTTTTATTGAGAAAGTTATGATTAATTTACTACTGACTGTTTAGTGGAAACTAAAATATGTGTGACGATAAAAGGAAGTGTTCGATAGTGGGGCTTCAGTTATCCAAATTAAGTGTATAATATATCAAATTAAAGCCTTGTCTGTCTAGTTTCTAAATATTCAAACCTCTTATCAATTGTAGTTCTATTGAGCAAGTTATGGTGAATTTACTACTAATTATTCAGTGGAAACCTAAATGTGTGTGATGATAAAATGAATGGTTTACTAAAGCTACATGGTTCAACATCAAACATCAGTTGATATTTAAATATTCAAACTTCTCATCAATTGGAGTTTTATTGATCAAGTTATAGTCAATTTACTACTAATTGTTCAGCGAAAACCTAAATGTGTGTGATGATAAAATGAATGGTTTACTAAAGCTACATGGTTCAACATCAAACATCAGTTGATATTTGTTAAATAAATGAAATTATTTATATTCAGCAACAGACTCTTTTCATGATATATGTATGTAACATAAAAAGATATCAATAAAAAGAGATAGAACAATTACAATTAAAACTATATATCAATATTTGTTTTCTTTTAAGGATAATAATAATGGTTCGGCATATTATATATGGTTTACTAAAGCTACATGGTTCAACAACAAAGATCAGATGATATTTGTGATACAAATAAATTTTGTTATATTCAGCAATAACCTATTTTCAATATATGTATTTAACACAAAAAAATATCAACAAAAAGAGATAAAACAAATACAATTAAAACTACATATCAATATTTGTTTTCCTTTGTCATCACTTAAATTGAATTGGTTTTATGTGTGTGATGATAAAAAAGAATGGTTCGACCGTAGGTCTATAGTTATTCAAATTCATCGCATAATATATCAAATTAAAGCTCTATCTTTCTAGTTTTCAAAGATTCAAATCGCTCATCAATCGAATTTTTATTGAGTAAGTTATGGTCAATTTACTATTGATTGTCCAATAGAAATCGAGAAATAGGGGAAAGCGAAATATGTGTGATGATAAAAAGAATGGTTCGAAAGTGGGGTTACATTTATCCAAATTACGTGTATAATAATCAAATCAAAGACCCATTTGTGTAGTTTTTAAATATTCAAACCTCTCATCAATTGGAGTTTTATTGAGCAGGTTATGGTCAGTTTACTACTAACTGTATAGTGAAAACTGAAATGTGTGATGATAAAAGGAATGGTTCGGTAGTGGGGCTATAGTTATCCAAATTAAGTATATAATATACCAAATTAAATCCCTATATTTCTAGTTTCTAAATATTCAAACCTCTCATTAATTGGAGTTTTATTGAGCAAGTTATGGTCAATTTACTACTGACTATTCAGTGGAAATTAAAATGTGTGTGATGATAAAAGGAATGGTTTGGAAATGGGGCTACAGTTATCCAAATTAAGCGTATGATATATCAAATTAACGCCCTATCTGTCTAGTTTTCAAAGATTCAAACCGCTCATATATTGGATTTTTGTTAAGCAAGTTATAGCTAATTTATTACTAACTGTTCAGTGGAAATCAAGAAACAGGGGAAACCGAAACGTGTGTGATGATAAAAAGAATGGTTTGGAAGTGGGGCTAAAGTTATCCAAATTAAGTGTATAATATATCAATTTAAAGCCTTGTCTGTCTAGTTTCTAAAGATGCAAACCTCTCATCAATTGGATTTTTATTGAGCCAGTTATGGTCAATTTACTACTGACTGTTCAATGGAAGTCGAAATGTGTGTGATGATGAAATGAATGGTTCGGCAGTGGTGCTACGGTTATCCAAATTAAGCTTATAATATATCAAATTAAAAAAACTGTCTGTCTAGTTTCTAAAAATTCAATTCTCTCATCAATTGGATTTTATCGAGCAAGTTATGGTCAATTTACTACTAATTGTTCAATGGCAACCAAAATGCGTGTGTTAAATAAATGAAATTAGTTATATTCAGCAACAACCTCTTTTCATGTTATATGTATGTAACATAAAAAGATATCAACAAAAAGAGATAGAACACTTATAATTAAAACTACATATGAATATTTGTTTTCCTTTAAGGATAATAATAATGATTCTGCATATTATAAATGGTTTACTAAAGCTACATGGTTCGGCAACAAATATCAGATGATATTTGTGATACAAATAAAATTTGTTATATCCAGCAACAACCTATTTTCGATATATGTATGTAACATAAAAAAATATTAACAAAAAAAGATAGAAAAAATACAATTAAAACTACATATCAATATTTGTTTTCCTTTGCCATCACTAAAATTGAATTGGTTTTATGTGTGTGATGATAAAATGAATGGTTCAGCTGCAGGTCTATAGTTATCTAAATGTTAGTAAACGGT